TTTTCAACGTTTTGTAAATTGAAAATATGTAAGTTGTATTATAAGTCTCTGAAAGCATGTTTGCACAAATTGAGGGTGTTTATTTAATCATTCTGTCAAAAAGGTTATTTCAGTCCTCCCTGAAGCATATATATTATTGTTTAATTAATAAAACAACTTACATAAAAGGAATTTTAAATAGATTATGCTTCTCTAGTCCCAATCAGAAAAAAATCACCTTAGGTTATTTTTAGTATTTTTATGTAACATGAATGTTGTGATATTGCTACTGGATATTAATCTAAAATTTAATGAACCCTTAAGAAACTCACTACTAATATTTCTGTAAAAATAGAAGATAAATTAATTAAATGAAAAATAATGTTCTCATTTACCAATACAAACTTGAATAGGGTGTGTTGATATATTAACACGCAATTTTTTGTTGTTATTATTTTCGACTCGCTTCTTTTAGGAACGTAAATTCATTAGCTTCTAAAACATTGACCCATCTCTCTTGCACAGTGACTGACGCATTGGTGGAATTATGTAACGTATATGCTCCCGCCCTCAATTCAATACATGCGATGAATCAACAACGTTGATACTGCGTGATTTATGAGGGTGGATTTGACACGACGCGTCAGCGAGTCTCTCGCACATCCCCTCATTTGCCGTCTCACAATCCAAATTAATTATTAGCAACCAGTATCCTACATTCAGATGAAAGATTTTCATCAGCAGAAACTAATCAAAAGCATATTTTCCGCGTACAGAGAACACTGACCCAGAAATTTGTTACGAAAGTTTTATTTCAACCCATTGCTCGACTCTGTTCTTTAATTTTTATTGAAACTCTTACAGTTGCAATATGTTCAGTAAGGTGAAGCATTATGCGACGAAAGGAAGCTTTTTTGCTTCTAAAAGGAAGATTACGTTATACACATAAGCAGAACAAGAATGGAATTATAAGATAACATTAACAGGTTGGCGCAGTATGAAAATAAATTTCAAATTGTATTAGTTTTTATGATTGGTTTTTAGTATCAGGGATATAAATTAAAAGAGTGAATTTAAATTTATTCAAGTTAGTATTAATTCTAGAAAGATATTGAAACTATGTTAGCAATAAAAAACTCTTTTTCGCATAAAAATATTTAATGCTCAAAAGTCCAAATTCCATTCTAATAAATTGCTTAGTCGTTGATTCGCCAAGTTTTGCTACCAACTTCTTTATTCCAGTCGGCAAAATATGCGTTAATAAAATCTTCAGTTAAATTCTGTTTTCAACAACTTTAGAGCTTCTCTATTTAAAGTTGCAATATTATTTTTCCTCAGAAATATGTGAGCAGGATATTCATATTTTGCAATGTCGATATCACATCCTATGCACATCGACGTTTTCATTTCCCAGCGGTGGGGACTTGTGCATCTCTAACCCAAAACGAAGACATCTCTGTGGAACGCTACAAGAAACTTGTTTATGCGTCAAAAGTATCATAAATATTAGCTCTGAGAGGCAAAGTTGTAAGGGTTCTGAGCGGTATATTTATCTTTCTTTGGCGGCAACGCGCATGTATGTTGCGTATCTGATCGAAGTTCTCAACTTAATAAAACGTACCCAAGTTCTCCGAATAAATATGAGGTTTATTCACTCGTCTGAGTGTAAGATAGTCACAGCCTCACTCAACGCAGTAACGTATTCCGTGTTCTGTTGTGAGAGACCGGTTTTAACAGGCGTAGGATTTCTTCTACGGGACCGGTCACACGTAAGCCACGTCAAGTTGAGATTCTTTTCGACGCGTCCAGAGGGAAAGGACGTCGTCTTCAACCAACGTTCATTTCGGAAATAGAGCCAATTGAAAGCGCAATAAATGTGAATTTACAGTACTCAAACGAAATGTTTTCATATACTGACTTATTTATTTTCATTCCTCATTTTAGCTTCATTTTTTTTCACCGACTGGTTTTAAGATGAGATGTTACATTAGACCTTAATTATTTATTCACTTTTGACTGGACGTATACTGAAATTTATCATTAAGTGTATATAATTAATGCAGTAGTTTTTATATTTGGAATAAATTGTACTTTCCTAGTGAATATTTTTTTAACCATATAACAATGATCACGTTCAATAGAATATTAAATATTATGTTTTGAAAATCAGGTCCGGAAACGCGAAATGTTTTGTTGTTCTGAAGTCATTTTTTTCATCGTGTCTCAACATTTTGTACATGCCTCAAATTAGAAGCTTTTGCAATTATCTGACATTACTTACGAGGCCGCTGAGAACCGTTAAACATGAATGTTTACTGGATATCATCTTTGATGCGATACTTGTTGAACATCTGTTCGCAATGTAACACATTGAGGAACGAAAGCATCATCATTATAACAAAGTCCTCGTTTCTTGCACTTGTTGCCCTCGCAGTATATTCATCTCATTAACATAATGCGGGGTGTAATTAAATAAATTAATGCGCATTTCGCATGTTATCACAGTGGTATTACTGAAACAGTTGTCAGACTGTTACGTGCTGAGCAGATTTAAACAACGTTTCGATCGAAGGGAACAAAGAGGAAATTGAGTGCCCGTGTTTATGAGACAAAACTACTAAAAGTCGTAGTTCTCGCGAAGAAATAAAAAATTCCATTTTTGTAGTCAGCACTTTTCATCGTTTCAAAACATACAAAATAATGGTAACTGCATTAATACTCCTTACGAAGGTTTTACAATCTAGATTTCAGAGGAACATCTTTATTTCTAGGGAGCGGATTTCTATGATTTTACATAAATTTTTGCCCGTTGGTACAGGGCATAGCTAAGGGAAATTTCTTGACCTTTGGTTAGAATTGGCTGCTAAGCAGGATAATATGTTAGTGCATATTTAGCCTATTTTTCTTATTGATGTATATTCGTGAAATTATAGGCGCATAGTTAGCATATTTTGTTTAAATAGGGACTTATCTCTAAAACGTTTAATCTTTTCATACAATCTATTTATTTGTGAATTCATTGATTATAAAGAGCTTGTCACAGTTTTTTCTGTAGTTGATTAAATACGTGAGTAAATTTATAATATTTTTTGATATCAAATCTTTAAACCAGGCAGAAGAAATGAAATAAGGATATAATGTGCTTAACTAAGGTGCATATTTACTTCAATTATTTCTCCCGCGAAGTAAGCTATGTTTTATTGTGTTTGCACATAAATATATATATATTTTCATTCTAAGCATGATTCTCCTGAATTTTATCAAGAAAGACTTATAGAGGTAATTAAATATTGCTAATTTTAATTGTTTATTAAATTGCATATTTCTGAATGTTTAGAGGATAAATGCGTGTTTTTAAAACCATATTCCAAGACTTTTTAGGGTAAAAAAATTCTCTCCCTATTTATTACTAATTTCCAATGCGCGTAGAAACCGGATGAAAACTAAGCAGCCTCCGGCCACGAGAGAGGCAACAACGGTTTCGTTAGATATTCATGAACTTACGAGAAATATTTGATGCTTTATGTCGCCTGTTACTCGTATACCGACTAAATTCTCATACTCTATCTATATACATTCTGCTCCACTGATTACGACACAGCTATAGTATGTCATTGGAGAGCAAAGAAGAGGTCGCTCTCCATGAAATATTTGCTATTCACGTTTTGAGTTGGAATAGTAACTTTTTTGATATTCTTGGTTTGTATACATGTTATTGCGTATTCGTGAAGACTGCGTCTGTTAAAATATTTAATTCTTTGGAGTGTTGTAAAAGATTATTTTATTTGGTGTTCATAAGAAATGTGAGTGCTTGAAAATTATTATGAAAATAATTTAATGTGGTTTTGTGAAGCAGCATGTTTGCTGATCGACGCCACTTCTGATATGCTTTTTCCCATCATTCCGATAAATGCAAAACTGGCTCTATTAAATATATGGTGCAAGTGATCTTTAAATGTAAGTGAAGACACAGATTTGAAATACATAAGAATAATGTCCTTATGGCTATATCTAACAAGTTGCGATTTGTACGTTCAGAAAATACATTTCGAATTGAAAAAGTTCTCATCACATCATCATAGAAAGGTTTTTGGTGTTCTAGCCACATGTGTGTCAAAAACTGTTCATTAAGGGAATAATTAATTGCTTTTGCGTGACATTGTCAGCTGTCAATCAGTTACATACGCTGATGAGTGTTTAACGTTGTTCTAACTTAATTTTTTAATTTCTGAGGCACGCATATCAATGGGGAGAACCATTGATAAAGAGATGTGATGAAGTAAATTATTAAATTGCAGAGAGTGAACGCGTAGTGACAATGAAAAAGTTAAATAAACGAACCCAACTGTGAAAATAACGATGATTATCAATTATCAGAAGCAGTTTTAGCGGGCCCTACCGTCAGAACAAAAAAATCCATTGTACTAGACTACCGAAACCATCACAAAGATTTTCCGTAACAAATCCCTCCATACTCTCTCCAAAAGACGATGAAATTTTTCAAAATGACTGTGCAAATGTTGCTATCATTGAGAAGTACACGTACTGGTATAACGAACTAGAAATTCACAACACCGACGACTACTACGAAGGTATTAAATTAGGGGATTCTTTGCATTTGTTAACCTCCGTATTTTATTTCAGTTATCCTGTTATTCTCACATTGCATTATAGTGTAAGGAAGAAGGTTAAATTTATTTCAGAGCAGAATATTAAACTATCTAAATACTGATCATTTATCATGTTACAGGCGATACTATCAGGAAAAGCGTATATACATAATCATATCTTTTGAAAGTCACCGCAGCTTGTGACTGAATAATTCTGGTAAAAAGCAAATATTAGAAGTTGAGAACGAGAGACAAGTTTGCATTGATCTGTTTCGGAAAATATCTTCGTGTTTTCGGCGGTGAGAAACGAGCACGAAGATTAAGTTGAAAATGGGCGGGTGAACGCTGGCGGGAGAGGGGCGGGCAACGCCCGTGGCTGGGCTAGGCGAGGCGTGAGGTTGGGTGAAGAACATGGCACGGGGTTATAAGGTGGGAAACTGAGTTGGGGCGAAGCAAGTGGTTGAGTGTAGTGCGAGAGGGATTGGGGGGGAGGGCCGGAGTGTGGGTTTGGAGGTAGAGTAAGGGGTTGGTGACTGATTGTGGGGTTAGGACCGAAACATGCGGTAGGTGGTGGAGTGTGAGGTTGGGAGCGGAGCTTGGGATTGCTTGCAGAGCCTGGGTTTGGGGATGGAGTGTAAGGTTGCGAGGAGTTCTTAGGGAGGGGAGCGTGATTGGGGTGGAGTGCTGCGTTCAGGTTGGGACGTCTGGTTGCGGGCGGACATAACGGTTGGTGCGTGGCGCGGGGAAGAGGACTTGGCGCCGTGTGGGGACGAGACGCGGGGTAGGGGAGGTGGTGTGGGATTGGGGACGTGGGGGTTGAGGCATGGCGTGGAGGTGGGTCAAGGCGCGGGGTTGGGGGTGTGGCGTGTAGTTGAGGGCGTGGCGCGGGATGTGGAGTGGCGCGGGGTTTGGGGTGGAGTGGGTGTGAAGGGCATAGAGCGGGTGTGGCGGGGCGCGGGTCGCGTCTTGCCGGTCGTCCATGAGCAGTGTCGCGTCCTGAGCGTCTCACCACTGCGCGCGACGTGACATGACGCGAGGGCGTATCGCGTTTCTGCGATGAAGCCGCCGCGCCGCCGCACCCTCCGTCCCCAACCCTGCTGTCCTGGCCACGCTGTCAGCTCTGCTCTTGTTCCCATCCTTCGCTGCCGTCCACGGCCTCGCCCGTTTCTCCTTTGCCCCCACTGTAGATGTTATGGCCCAGACTCCCTTATCTTTACAAGCAATGCAGGAGAACGTAACCCACACATTAATGATGATAATATTCTGTTAACTCGTTTCTGGGAGATTGCGTCGTCCACCAACCGAAATTCCTTAGGTTCCTTAGGTAGAATAATTTTGAAATGGCCAGACAGTATTTTGCACTTTAACCAGTGATTTTTTGACGGGATTATACATGTGTTGAGATTAATTCAATTACTACCTTTAAATGCCTCACACTTTTGAAATAACGAATCTTAGCCTGTCATTGAGCACTATTACTCAAATGATAGTTTCAATAACTTTGTTACAAATCTTAATTATAAACTGAACTTTTTATCTTCCCTATTTTAAATCCAATTTTATAATACTTCACATCCCTTTTAACCAAATCGTGCAATTCGTAACAATAGAAGAATAATTCTTTATTGTATGTGAAAATATGGTATTGTAGTGTCTTTCAATAAAGACTATGATCATATATGGACAGTCTGACATCAGGTTTTATTTATTTGAGAGAACATTGAAAAGAACCCGGAAATAATAGTCTCAAGAAAGAGATTGGCAGTTACTCTGATGTCAAGTGGCCTCCAAAGCGTGCGAAATATTGCAAGTTGGCGAATCGAATTGGCCGCCCCGAAATTACTTGCGTGGTTCGCTCTCCTGTAATTTGTGAGGTGTCGAGGGCGAAATAATTTCGGTAATAATAGGTTCGTTCCGTCGGTCACGCCTTCTTGAGCAACTAGCACGTGCGCGCGTGTGTATATACCTGCCGCTAACTGCTTGGAAGTCTGTCTTTGTCACAGATGGGAAAGTGGTGATGCAAACAACGCGAGCGTAGCAGTAAAACTGAAAAAGTTCTTTTTACATAGTTCTTATTGAAATGAAGGAATCAAATTGACTAAAAAAGGTTCAAAGTGGTAACGGCGCGTTTTACGTGGATGCGCGCAACAGTGAAGTCTCCGAGTTCGAACATATAGGACGTCTTCTATAGTGTGTGTGTGTGTATGTGTGTGTAAGTGTGTATGTGGGGAGAGGGAGCGAATGGGAGAGAGAGCGTTGTGGAAAGTCCCAAAAATCACACGCAACCGTTTATAGCTGTCACGCGTGTTCCTATTCCCAGAAGTTCAGGAAGTCCTATTTGGAAGCTGAGTCCGGATGTAAAAATACCTACTTTCAGACGTAGCTAACTTCGAATCTGTATCGTGGAATCAATACTCCATCCGTTCAGTTTTCTACATGAGACCTGAATTGCCAAGCATGAGGTATACTTTTTATTTACGTTCGTTCTGTGAAATATAGTTGTTACAATTTTTTTCATTTGTACGAGACAGAATATTCTAATCTCGTAATATACAATTTACAGAAGGTCCGTTGTTGCAATGCAGACCCTCAGTAAATTCTCAGCAGCCAAAGTAACTCTCAGCTTTTGTACACGTATTGAACATGTACAGAGCAGAAAGTCTTATGAACAACTCATAAACGACTAATTTATTTAATTCACAAAAATTCTGACTTAAATGACTGTTTTATATCATAAAATTTAATTATGTGAACAATATAAAAAAATCAGCGCATTGGATTCTGAGATCGTATAATCCGTTTTGGATTGTGCTTGTGGCGTCGATGGCTCGCAGCCTAGCGTTTGGCGTGTGCCGCCCCCTCCCCACCAGACTTACTTCCTCGCGTGAGCGCTTGCCGTGCCGACTGGCTCGATCGCCTGACACCCTGGAGTTCCCACTTCACTGGAATGTTGCTGTCAGAAAAACAACAACGACGTATTTGAAGTTCCAACGTACTTTTGATCGTGGTTCAAAAGCAAAGAATAAAATGCCCTAGAAAGGGACATGTGTGATTTATAGAAGACGTTATGAAAAGTTGGCGTTCATTAATATTTTCCTCTTGCTTTTGACAGTTTCGTACTGTGAACTTGACAATAAAATGCAAATTGATACCTTTTGTCTTTTGTTTTCTTTCAAGCTGTTGAAAGTTGGTTCTCAGTTAGGTCAGTCCGTGTTGTCAACTCTAACTTACAGGAAGAGAAAATGAGATATTTAAATTGCCATAATTTTAAATTTGGATCTAAAATTCAAAAATTCGAAAAAAGTATGTTTTCTAAGCAAAATAAATCACTCATCCTTTATACTTTTCTCAAGTGGGAGTGGATGTTACTGTATGAACTCAACGGACTGCAGCCAGGGTCTGTGCCAACTGCGAATTTTCCACAACAAACGAGTAAGTCACCAAAAAATAAAAAAGTAATTAAACATTGTAAATTTACAAGTATTTATGTTTCAGTCAGATTGGATGAGTTTGGAATGGAAAATAATTGATATAGTAGGATATTGAAACACGCATTTTCTTTCCAAGCTTCTGACATGCTGTTCGAAATCTCAGCACGGGAGTCCACATACACTCAAACCTTGTGTGAATTTTGTGAAATTTTACGTACAAAATGTAACTGGCCTCAATCGTTCCGGGTTCTCGACCTAAGACTAAGTACTCGGAGTTGAAATCTGAGACCGATCACATGATCGGATGGTTTGGTACTGAAATTATTACGTATCTCACCTGAACATCCATTTCGTTCACAATAACGCATCTATTATCACCATTTCCCCCTCATATTCATCAAACCTTCATTGATAAAGTGAAAAGCAAAGTTAAAGGTCTATTGTCTATATATCTGCCCAGGAAAGAGGACAACATAAAACCTTAAACCGTCAAGTCTAAGCACAAACATGAATTCTCACATAATCTGAAATTGATCTACACGAATCCACACAGTTATTTTGGAATCATCTCACTATCTCACAAGCTGAAATTGATTTATAAGAGTCCACACAGTTATTTTGGAATTCAGTCTTCCAACAGAAAGCAACTTGAGGAATTTGAAACCTTAAAAAAAAACTTAAAACGACTCGAAAAAGTTTAAAAGAAATAGCCACTGAAGAAAAGAGGTATTGGTTCTTGAGTGGCTGGGCGAGGTGCAGTGGGCGACGGCTGTGGCCGCGGGGGTCGTGGGCGGCGTTTCGTCACGGCGCCCCACGCGCGCGGGCGCTGGTCGTGCGCGTCGACGCCTGCGGGCGGCGCGCGCCCTTTGTTTCCTCCGGCGCCACTCGCGTGCCGGGCGCAATCTGCGCCATTCGCTGCGCCCCTCGCCCCCTGCACACCGCTCCACCACCACGCCTCTGTCGTAGCCTACTTTGTCCTCTGATCGCAACGGGTAAACCATACTTTCAAACTACGTGAGTTTTATCCGCATCGTTTTTACCCGTTCCAGAAAACACGACCTCTATGGAAACAGTCTTGCGTGTGAAATAGTCACGAATGAATCTGATAGCCATGAGTGCCTGTATATGAAGGATGACCAAGGGTTCTGCTCATAATTATCGGATCATGATTTTGTTGAGGAAATGGGTTCTACTTGGTCCTATCTTGAACGTCCGTTTGTGTACCCATCACAATGTTGTTTGACTTGTGAAGATTAACTTTGTACTGTTAAGCATGAAACGCAGTGAACTCAGACGGGTAAAACTGGACGCCTGTAAGCGTCTTCACGATATGATAAAATACTGTCTGAGACGCGCAAGCCCAGGCGGGTACAAGCGGCGCGAGCAAAAGCGAGTGCGTGGGGGCGTCTTTGCTACCTTCTTCTCCGATTTCAAATCCCTTTCGTCTCGTGGAACTCTTCCTAACTTGCCTCAGCCTTCAATATAATATCTTTTTTATCCCCACCCTCGCCACGATTCACCTCGCAGTTTCCTTCTGCTTCGTCATGGATTTCGACACCGAAATTGTCATCGCACCAATTCTATCGCCCTTGATTCTTGCTTCCGCTTCTCAAACTTCTTTGCTCTTCCTCCTCCACTGCCACTGTTGGTAACTATATATCGAAGTAAAACGTTAATGGTCAATATTTCAATTCATCATTTCAATAAAACAATATTTCATGTCAACGTTATTGAAAATAGTATGTATGCATCAATTTTTTTGTTCTTGGATGTCACAGTCTTCGCCATCCACACTTCCCTTTCTCCGTTTGACTTTTACGACCTCATTTTTACGTCAGATGTTGTGGTAACACCTGGGGAATGTATAACAAAAATAAAACAATAAAATGATAATTAAGTCATGAAAGAGGTCACCTTCTCATCACATGTGTTAACTTTCGAAGAAACGGCTAGATACAAACTTTTGCTTTGAGTTGGCAACGTTTTGATAGTAAAAAATTCTCACATTTATGACTACAAAATTAAAAAACGTGTTATTTATGTTAATAATACCTTTTGATAGAGATGAGATGATGCCGTAAAAGGGTCACAAGGAAGAATTATCGTTTAACGTTTCTGCTAACGCATGGACATGATATCCACTCTAAAGGATCCACTTCGCAGAAAACGAATTCTATTCCTAGGTCTTAGAAAGAATATGAAAAGTTGAGAGTATTAGAAGAATGATAAGAGATAATATCAACGAAATGTGCCTCTGGTATCGGTACGAATGCTATTGAGAAAGTGCTACCTCTCACACAACTCATTATATCCCAGTTCTTTACAATGATTAATGTATGAGTATTATTTGGACACTCCCGGTTCTAAGAAACATGCAATTAATGTAATTGGGCGAACAAATTTTTATTCACTTCGAATTTCCATTCAGTGTATTTGGTAAATATGGAAGAAAGCTCTCAGAAGCACATTTTCTCTCGATACATTCATCATT